GAAAGAAAGAAAGAAAGAAAGAAAGAAAGAAAGAAAGAAAGAAAGGAGGGAGGAAGAAAGAGAAGGAGGAAGGGAAAATGAATGAATGAAGGGTAAGAGAGGTTGGGGGTTAGGAGGGGATCAGATGAGGATAAGTTTAAGATTTAGGGGAAAATGGGCCTGCTCCTACAGATGTCAGAGATGGTAAATCATTTCTTTTTTTTTTTATTTCTTTTTAGGCAACTGGGATTAAGTGACTTGCCCAGGGTCTCACAGCTAGTAAGCGTCAAGTGTTTGGTCTTAGATCACATTTGAACTCAGGTCCTCCTGACTTCAGGGCCAGTGCTCTATCCACTGCGCCGCCTAGCTGCCCCAGATGGTAAATCATTTCCAAAGATTCTCACACACCCTAGAGGCACTACCTTCACCCACATTTATCCTGGAAGATGGGGACGGATGAATGAGAAAGAGTAAGAAGCAGGGCCTGAGACTTCAGATCCTTTCCTGTGGCTCAGGTTTAGGCGAGGGGCCCATAGGGTCTGGGGGATAGCTCTCTACCTTTGTTACAATTCTCCCTCCAGGGATCCAGCAGGCCGGACCCTGCTCCATCACGCAGTGGTGAGCGGCCACATCCCGCTGGTCCGGTTCCTGGTGCAGCATGGGGCCGCAGTGGATGCAGCAGATGAGGAACTGGTCACTCCTCTGCACTGGGCTGCCTGGCAGGGGCAGAGTCAGGTGGCTGAGCTGCTCCTGCAGCGAGGGGCACCAGCTTCAGCCAGGAGTCGGCAAGGCCTCACGCCACTGCACTGGGCAGCTGCCCTGGGACGCTCGCTATTGGTCCAGCGACTTCTCGCCCATGGCCTGGATGCTGCCAGTGAGGACGTTCATGGGTGGACAGCACTGCACTGGGCAGCTGCAGGGAACCAGCTTCCTGTGGTAGAACTTCTAATCTGTCAGGACATCTCTCTGGACATCAGCTATTCAGGAGGCCCCTGCCCTGTGCATGTGGCAGCTGGGGCTGGGAGAAAGGAGGCACTGGAGTTCCTTCTGATCCAGGGAGCAGATGTCAATGCCCAAGATAGCACGGGGGCAACAGCTCTCACCATTGCCTCAGGCCTGGGGGACCAGGAGGTGGGGCCTCCCCTGATAATGCTCTTTTCTCTGATGGGGGCAAGGAAGAGACATCTTGGGTCTACTTCTCCCAACCAGAAAAGCCTGGAGCCCTCTCATGTAGTCATGAGCCAATGATAGTAGTGAACTAGTCCTGGGTCTATAATAAGGAGGCAGTGGTGCTGCTGGAAATATGGCAGTGAGGTGGAAAGAGGAGATGCTGATCATTTTCTCCCCCTTCTGTCTCATCTGGCTTTCTGGAGTCACAGTCTGGGGAAATGTATTTGAGTGGCAGAGCAGAAGGAAAGGGCCCTGGATTAAGAGTCAGAAGACCTAGCGTTGAACCGTGGCTCTGATACTGCCCACGTGACTTCGGATAAATCATCTTCCCCTGTAAACATTCCCAGAAATGAAGGGTTTAGAAAAGACCATCTCTAAATGCCTTTCCAGCTAGGAATGTATGATCTTATGCCAAGGAGAGGCTCATGAGGTGGGTAGTAGGTGAGGAGAGGTCCCTGAGCCAGTGGAGACAAGGGGAGCAGGAGAAATGATCTAGGAATGTAGGGGGTCTTGAAAGTGTAGCTGGAGCTCATGGACACTTCAGAGAAGGAGAATGTCAGTTTAATTATTTGCTAAAAGCTTACCCAGCTGAGTGAGAATGGGGTGTGGGATAATGAAGGATTAAGAGGCTTCTCCAAGGGTCATTGATGCTGTAAATGGAGACGACCTTGTGGGCTGGGTGAGCTGTCCTATTTGCTCTTTCCCTAGGCCGGGGATGGAGGAGGGAGTGCAAGGGGTTCTGTTGAACTCTTAGGTGCCCTGCCCTAAGGGGGAATCAAGAAACAGTTATTAAGTACCTACTATGTACCAGGCACCCGGGTTAGGTGTTCCCAGATTCAGACAAAAATGAATTGATCCCTGCCCCTCAGAGAGGTTAAATTCTGCTAGGGGAGACGATATGTACTCACATAAGTATCTATAAGGAAATCTTGGGCAGGAAGTCACTAGCTACTGGGGGTGCCAGTGAAAGCTTCATGTAGGAGGGGACATGTGAGCTGAGGCTTGAAGGAAGTAGGAGTGAAGAGGGTCTTCCAGACCCAGGGACAGTCAGTGTAAGATGTCATTCCCTTTTGTAACCAGAACACCACCTCACACGCTAACATTTAAAAGTCCTAAAGATTTAGCTAGATGTTTTCCTCACCAACAGGGACCTACCTCCCAAGGTTAAAGGACCAGAGTCTATTTCTCCTCACTATCCTTCTCACCTCTGTGTGCCTAGGCCTGTGCTATTCCTATTTGGGGAGGGAAAGGAGGGTGTTCCATGTAGTACAATAGAAAGAGTTGTAGACAGGAGACCAGAGCCTCAAGACTGGGACCTGACAATGTGACTTTAGGTAAATCATTCAATAAACATTAATTAAGGATTTCCTGTATTAGGCAGTGAAGCAGATACAAAGTTGACAACTGCCACAGTATGGTGGGGGGTGGGGGGGAGAGGAGGAAATAAGATACAAACAGATAAGGAGTAATGGGAAGGTTTGAAACAAAGTATCATGTGAAAATCATTACTGACAAGGGGATCTAGGAAGGCTTCCTGGACAAGAAGATACTGGAGGTGAAGTTTGAAGAATAGATAGGAATTCAGCAGCAAAGGTCAGGCGAAGAGAAGAAGAAGGGATGGCCTACCAGGCAGAGGAAATCGTACAAACAAAGGCATGGAGGCGGGAGAGTGCAGGACTTGGCAACCAGAGTTCAGTTGGCCAACAAAAAGTGTGTGTGCGTGCGTGCGTGCGCGCGCACGCGCGCGCACGCAAGGAAGGAATAGGAGATAAGGCTGGAAAGGCAGGGGAAAGATCAGAGGGTGCTTCTCTGATGTCAGTTTCCTCATCTCTATGGTGGTGGTAATGCTTGCCCAACCTACTTTCTAGGATGGTTGTCTGAAGTCCTTCCCCTAGTAGAATGTAAGCTTCTTGAGGGCAGGGACTGTTTTGTCTTTGTACCACTTTTCCTCGAATCTAGCACAGGGCCATGCATGGAGTAGGTGCCTAATGGATGCTTGTGAATTTGAATTAACTTTGTAGACCTTAAAGTATTCTAGGAACGTAAACCATCACCACTAACCTCTCTGTCCCCATTATTATCATCCGTGTGACCCAGTCCCTGCCCTGGGAGAGGTCCTAGTTTGGCTGGTAAGGTGCGAATCAGGTGAAACAGCTGAGACAATACCAGGCAGGTTGTGTTGAAAGGCTGAGTAATTGGGATCAGGTGTCTAAAGGCAGGAGGGAGCTGTGTGGGCTGGAGGAATCTGGAAAGGAATGTAAGATTTAGAGCCGGCAGGCACCTTAGAGCCTGAGGCCCAGAGACCTATCCAAGGTCACACAGATGGTCAATGGTGAGTCATGATTTGCACCCTGGTCTTCTGCCTCCTCCTTTCTCTGTTTCAGGCCTGGAGGGAATAGGGCTCTACAAAGTTCTCACTTTGACTGTTATCTTTGGGGGAGTTGCTTTAAGGAGCAGATAGATCTGATAAGGTACTGGGTCATTCACAGAGCAGGCTCTTGAGAAGGATGAGGCTACTGTGTGGTCTTGCTAGAATTTAACGAGCTGAAATGGAGTTCAGAAAGAATAGCCCTCACCCCCATCCCTACCCCTCTATGCTTTCCAACAAAGGCCACCCAGTCTCCTTCCTATTCCCAGGTCGTAAAGCTGCTCTTGGACCATGGCGCTGATGGGGACCTTCCAGACCAACATGGCCGCTCTCCCCTTCACCGGGCAGCTGCTGCTGGCCACCTTCCTGTGGCCCAGCTACTGGTGGAGAGAGGAGCTGCAGTGGATGCCCAAGATGGACTACATCTCACACCCTTGCACCATGCAGTCTTGGGAGGAGACACTATGTTTGCTAGCTACCTCCTGGACCAGGGAGCAGAGGTCAATGTGGCCGGTTGGCTCCACAAGACCCCTTTGCACTTGGCCATTGAGAAGGGTCATTGCTCTATGGCAGAATTTTTACTAAGGCGAGGAGCTAGCCCCAACCTGCGGACACAGTGGCTGGAGACTGCAGAAGACCTCGCCGCCCCAGGCAGTCCTCTCAAGATCCTCTGTTCCTTTCAGAAAGGCCAAGACGAGAGGTACAAGGCTGGGCAGGGCTCAGGCCCCTCCACGTAGACATCCAAACTGGAGGTCTGAGTGGTACTCTGCTACTAGCTAGCTTTGTGTCCTTGGGATCACAGGACATACAGGAGGACCCTTGTTGATTATCTGATCCAACAGTCTCCTTTTATGGAAGAGGAAACTGAGGCCCACAGGAGTACAGTAATTTGCTCAAGATCACGTGGGTAGTGATTAGAGTTGGCATCTAAGCCTTGGTACGCATCTGTAAAATGGCAATAACACTTGCTTTCCTGACAGCATTACTATGAAGACAGTAAACCCTATAGTAATATAGAAAATATGAGTTATTGTTATTGCTGTTATTACTGGGACCCCAGAGGAATGAATGTTTTTAAGGTTGGGTACCCCCGGGACAAACGAAGGTGAGGACTGGGAAATAAGCTCGACAGGGCAGAGCCCTTCCCTTTTGCCATGTTTACTTTTTCCTGGAGGAAATGGAGCAGCAGTGACCCAAACTCATGGCCATTTGGCCCCATGGTCTGTCTAGCTCTGACGGTGAGGAAGAATAAGAGTCCCCACCTTCTGCCATCATCTTTTGAGGAGATTTCCTTAATAATGATGGTGGCCATCATTTATGGAACTCTTTAAAACTTGTAAAATGCTTTATATGTGTTTTCTTGTTTGATCCTCACAACTCTGTGAAGTAGGTGCCATTATTATCCCCATTTTATGGTTGAGGAAATGGAGGCAGACAGAAGTGAAGTGACTTGTCTAGGGTCACACAGCTGCTAAGGCCAGTCAAAGTCATGACTCCAATGTTGTTCAGTTGTATCTGACTCTCTGTGACCCCATTTGGGGTTTTCTTGGCAAAGATACTAGAGTGGTTTGCCATTTTCTTCTCCAGTTCATTTAACATGTAAGGAAACAGAGGCAAATGGGGTTAAGTGACTTGCCCAGGGTCACACAGCTAATAAGTGTCTGAGGCCGGATTTGAGCTTAGGTCTTCCTGACTCCAGGGCAGGCATTCTATCCACTTTACCACCCACCTGTCCCCATTCCCTCCCACTTGTGTATGTGTTGGGGGGGGGGAAGGCGGGTGTTAATAAATAAATGCTTTTTGATTGACTAATTGATCCTCTGCTTTGCCTCTCAGGGACCCCATCTCTACAATGGGAACTATCCCTGACCTTGATCCTAGAAATGATAAATTTTTCTTAAAAAGGGTAAACTTATGGACAGAGATTTTTAATTTCTTAAAAATAAAAGCATAGGGGCAGCTAGGTGGTGCAGTGGATAGAGCACCGGCCCTGAAGTCAGGAGGACCTGAGTTCAAATCTGGCCTCAGACCAAACACCTGACAAGTACTAGCTGTGTGACCTTGGGCAAGTCACTTAACCCTGATTGTCTCACTAAAAAAAAAACAACAACAAAAAACAAAAAGCATGTTTAAACATATAGATATCCATAACAGCCTCTATCAGTAATTCCCTTTATATCTCTTCCTTGCTGATCTCTTTGATTCCTTTAGACAAGCTGAGTATTGCCAGATGTAATAAAGATTGCATCTCAATTACAGTTTTAAAGGCTGATGTCCAGGGAGGAGTATGGCTGTACAGTGTAGAGATAGGAGAGTTGTTTATAAGGCAGAAAATTCACCCACGTCTCTTCCAAACACACAAATCAACTTCCTCATCACTCTACCCTCTTGTCTCACACAATCTACTCCATTCAGAATTGCCATTTAGTCATTCACACCTAATCTGTGTGGAATAAAAGTTCAGAATGTCTCCCTCTCTAAAATTTCAAGGACTTGCTTTTAATGACTTAGAGAAAACAAGTTAAAAATCACAAGTTCTTGGGCAGCTAGGTGGCACAGTGGATAGAGCACTGGCCCTGGAGTCAGGAGGTCCTGAGTTCAGACACATAACACTCATTAGCTGTGTGACCCTGGGCAAGTCACTGAACCCCAATTGCCTCACAAAACAAACAAACAAAAAACCAAATCACAAGCTCTTTTCAAACTGCTCCTGGTATGATAAAGGACCACTCGAATTCATTTTCCAGATCCCACAGAAAGTGTTAGGCTTCTAACAGGACGTGATATTTATCAGAATGTGTAATAGTTTTCTCCAATCCTAACTGTTCCGTCAACCTTGCTCACAGGGAAGGAAAGGGAGAACAAATATTTAGAAGTTCCTACTATGCGCCAGGCATGGTGCTAAGCACATTACCAATATTGTAACATGGGATCATGGGGTCACAGATGGAGAGCTGAAAGAGACCCCACAGTTCAAAGTCCATCCCTTTCATTTTCACAGATGAGTGAATTAAGGCCAGGAGAAATGGTGACTCACCCAGGATCAAACACTGGTTAAGTGTCGGAGGTGGGATTTGAACCCAGGTCTTCCTGACCTGAGTCCAGTGCTCTAAACATTACAACATGCAGGCTCTAAGATTCTGACTTCACTCAGAATTATAAGCCATTTCTAGCAGGGGAATTTAAGCTTTTTTTTTTTTTAACATCATGGATCCCTAAGGCAGTCTGCTGAAGCCTATGGGTCCCTTCTCAGAATTAAGTTTTTTAAATGCATAAAATAAAATACATAGGATTACAAAGGAAAACAATTATATAGTTGGTTTTTTTTAATTGAAAAGACAAGTAATGGTTACTCGGATTTCTTTGCAAATATCCCAGAATTAGGATTTCCATCGCAGTCAGGTTCTGGAGGATGCCCCTAGCCCATTTTTCCCTGAATGGAAATGAAACCCCCAAACTGCAGTCTCTTCCTCCACCTTGGAAAGGAATAGCAGGGGCAGGGCCAGGTTCAGCTGCAGCAGCTGTCCTCTCCTGCTTCAGGGCAATCATTGCTCCTTCACAGAGTAAAGAGAGTGTTTTGTAAATTATAAAACTCGTGTCAGTGGGCCTGTTGACTATGAACCAATCCAAACTCCTGCTCTAGGACTCTGGGCTTAGGATTGGTGTGAATTCACCATATCAGACCTCAGTCAAGTCCACTAAGCTAAGCTCTGCCTCTGCCATCCTCAAGTTATGCTGCCCTGTTGTACCCTTCCCCCTCCTCCTGTCTCCCAACCCTGCTTTCCACCTCTAGCTCTGAAAATGGTAGACAAATAAACACTACTCTCTTAGGATGTAAGTTCCTTGAGGGCAGGGATTGTCCTGATTAATTGTATTTGTATCTCCAAAAATCAATCAATCAATCAACATTTATTAAGCACCTACTAGTTACCAGGGGAGTAGCTAGGTATCCCAGTGGATGTAAATACTGGGCCTGGAGTCAGGAAGACTCATCTTTTCGAATGCAAATCTGGCCTCAGACTTCCTAGCTGTGTGACCCTGGGCAAGTCACTTGACCCTATTTGCCTCAGTTTCCTCATCTGTAAAATGATCTGGAGAAGGACATTTGCCATTGCAAACCACTCCAGTATCTCTGCCAAGAAAACCCCAAATAGGGTCAAGAAGAGTCAGATGTGACTGAACAACATTTGTATCTCCAGAAATCAACCAATCAACATTTATTAAGTACCTACTATGTTCTAGGCACCATACTGAGGCTGGGGATTCAAAAAGAGTCAAAAGACTGTCTCTGCCCTCAAGGAGCTTACAATCTTATGCTGACCTAGCAGGGCATATAGCAAGCACTTAATAAATGTTTCTTTTATTCATTCACATTGTACACAGCAGAGGGAGATGTTTAATATTGTAAATATCCACTTTAAAAAAACCGCACATATTAAGTGTTTCTTGTGAGCAAGGCACTAGGGAGTCAAAGATAAGACTGAAAAGACCCTATCCCTGCCTGCACAGTGCTTATATTTTACTGGGGGTGGGGGATAGGGAGAGGAACACATAGACACAGAAAAGTAAACCTAATGCAATAAGGATGCATTAAGTGAAGGTTTTGAAAAAGACAAATGCAAGTTAATTTGGAGAGAAACAATGAATCAATTAAAAGAAATAGGGGACAGCTAGGTGGCGAACTGGATAGAGAACCAGCCCCGGAGTCAGGAGGACCTGTGTTCAAATCTGGCCTCAGACCAAACACTTGACACTTACTAGCTGTGTGACCCTGGACAAGTCACTTAACCCCAATTGCCTAAAAAAAAAAAAAAGGGAATAGCATTTCTTAAGTACCTGCTTTATGCCAGGCACTGGCAAAGATTGAAACCCAAAGAATGAAAGAATCTCTAGGACCAAAGAGCCAAGTAAATTCTAGGAACTCGCCAACGAAGAGGGGGCTGAGAGAAGGCTTTGTTTTGGGAGGTGGTGCATGAGCGAAACCTCCAAGAAACAAGGGATTCAGAGACAGGCTGTCCACACAGACAGAAAGGAGGGGGCATGAACCTGAAGTGTGTAAAGGAGATAATCTGAAGGCTATCTGGGAAGGGAGGCTTTCAATGCCAGGTTGAACGGCTTGCATTCCATCCTAGAGGCCTCAGAGAGGCATTAAAGGGAGTCTGGAACTCTGAGGACCCCAGTTCAAATCCCAGCCTTGCTACTTGCTACAAGCCTCTCTCAGCCTCGGTCTCTTAATGTGTCAAAGGTAAAAAAGTCTAAGGTCTATCCAGCTTGAAAGCTAAGATCCTCCTTACACAGACAGCCTCGTGCCTTAGCAAGATGATTTTGGCAGCCGTGTGACTGATAAATTAAAGAGACCAGAGCAAAGAGTCCTGTTAGAAAGCTCCTGCCATGGTCTAGGTGAGAAGCAACCAGGACTTGAGCTTGGGGAGTGTCTGCATGCGTAGGGAGAGATGGGAATGGAAGAAAGAGATGTTATGGAAGCAGCATTGATGAGTCTTGGCAAGTGATAGGATGTGATTGATGCATGATGGGGGGAGAGAAAGGGAAGAGTAAAAGATGATTGCAAGGGGAGAAAAACTTAAAACTCAAAAGCTTATGGAAGTGATTGTTTAAAACTAAAAATAAATTAATAAAAAAAAAAAGGTGATTTCAAGGTTGTAAGACAGGGTAACTGGAAGAATGGAGCAGACCTAAATAGGGATGTTTGGATGAGAGGTGGTTTAAAGGAGAAGAGAATTAATTCTGTTATAGACAAGCTAAGTTTGAGGTGCTTATGGGACATCTCATAGGCAGGATCCACAGAATCAGTAATCTTCCATGCAGAAATGATACTTGAGCCCATGAGTGCTAATGAAATAACGGAGAGAGAAAACAGGGAGAGAAGTGGCCCCAGGGCAGAACTTTGGGACGGACACACAAGGACACACAGACAGACAGACAGACAGACACACACACACACACACACACACACACACACACACACACAGAGTCAGGAGATGGACCCAAAATCCAGCAAAAGAGACTGAGAACTGAAAGACAGGTAGGATTGTAGCTGTCAGAGCTTCTAGGAATTTCATAGGCCACCAAGCTCAACTTCCTAATTTTATAGATGAGGAAACTGAGGCCTAGAGAGATGAAGTATCACACAGATATTAAGTAACAGAGGTTTTGTTTGTTGTTCATTCTTGAAGAGGATTAATGACATCAGGAGGGTGATGTCTTAGACTTGTAAATGAGTTGGATTTAAGTGAGGCAGGGCTGTGCAGAGTCATCAGCCTCATTCTCTCCTCCAGGGTCATCTAGGTCCAGTGGCAAGACAAGGATGACCAGTGATGGCCCTGGATGTGGTGGGAGAAGGTCTTTCCCACAGGTCTCAGTTTGTCTGACTCAGTTTGTCTGCAATGCCCATTCAGTGATTAAAGGTTAGGTAACAAATGAGACAAAAAATGGGGCAGCTAGGTGGAGCAGTGGATAGAGCACCGGCCCTGGATTCAGGAAGACCTGAGTTCAAATCCGGCCTCAGACACATAACACTTACTAGCTGTGTGACCCTGGGCAAGTCACTTAACCCCATTGCCTAGCCAAAATAAAACAAAACAAAAAAAAGAAAGAAATGAGGCAAAAGATGGCCTAGTTTGCCTTCACAAAAGAATCAGTCTGGGAGGGGAAGACCTTGAGAGTTTCTGGCCAGAGCAGAAACAATTGCTATTTACACTGACCTAAACAATGAGCAAGTGAGGCTTGGTCTGGGACCTATTATTGGTCAATCAGTGAGAGCCAGAGTGATTTAGGTTTAAAGGCATAGTCAAGTAGCTCCACTTGAATCCCAATGGGCTTTATCAAAGCCTGGTTTTCCAGAGCTATATTTCAAGAAATCAAAAATGAAAACCACATGAGAAAAAAGAGTTAATTGTCCTAGTTTTTTGAAAAACAAACAAACAAAACAACAACAACAACAAAATAACAAAATAAACAATGATAGAATAAATAAGTAGGGAAGAAAAAGATGTAGCCCCCAAACCCTGAGATATTTTGTGAAGTATAAGTGATCAAAATTGATATTCCTTCTGACAGAGCACCCACACATAAGGGTAGGACTCCCCACATGGACAGAGGGAAAAGAGGAGGAGGATAAGGAGGAAGTATCAGAGGTGAGATTTGTACTGAGGACCCCAACCCCAGAGACTGTGCTTTTCTCCGTGGCCCCCCCCCCCCAGCCTCAGGAGAAAACAGTATCCTAAGTAAGAAAGTATCCAGGAGAAAGGGGTGTTCAATAGCATCATTAGCTATAGAGAAGTCAAGGAAGAGCTGAGCTGAGAGAAATGACCGCCAGATTGCACAGGTCAGAGTCACTCTGGATTGAGCAGTTTCCTACTATTACAACGGTACAGCTGTTTGAAGCCGGCTTCTAATATCTGAGTTCTCAAAGGCAGAAGCCCCAGGTGGAAAGGCTATGCCGAGGACCTGGTCAGTTGCGTTTAAAGATGCTTGTCCAGAGCAGACTTGGGGTGGGGGAGGATGAGGGCTGATGGGGGTGAATTTTCCCCATTTTTTTCTGCCACAACGGTAAAGCCTTTCTTTTAAGGTGTGGAATACTCCAGTGCAGATAAAAGCATGCATGCATTCAAGTCAAGCTATGCTCCAGGGCCTACATTTTCCAAGAGCATCCAGAAATGAATCAATGCCAGGGCTGGAGCACATCCTGAGCTCTCCCACCGCTGTGCCTAGCCCAGGATGCCTTCCCACCCACACCTCGCCTGCCCACTTATCCTTTAAAGCCATCTCTGTGGCCCCGGATGGCTTTAAAGTCAGCTGACGCCATCTCCTCCTGAGACTTTTCACCTAATACTGCTGATCGTGGCTGGTTGTCATCTACTTTCTAAACAAGGAGATTTAAAAGCTAAAATGTTTTTTAGAGTTTGACAAATTATCATCTCAGTTGATTCTCACAACCACCCTGGGAGGCTATTATTGTCTCTATTTTGCAAATGAGGAAACTGAGGCAGCCAGAGGGGTTAGTTACTTGCCAGGGTCACACAGCTAGGAAATGTGGGAAGGCTGCATTTGAACTCAGGCCTTCCTAACAGTTAGGCAGGCCATCCCCAACTCGGAGGGGGAGGGGAGGGGAGGGGAGGGAAGGGGAGGGGAGGAGGAGCCGAAGCTGCGGGCCCCGCCCCGCGCCCTGGAAGTACTTGCCGTCGGAGGCGGAGCCGCCCCCGGAAGTGCTCGAGGCACCGCCGTTTCCGGCGTCCTGTGCATGGCCGCCGTCACCAGGGCCTCGCGCCGCCCAGAATAGGAAGGAGCCATGGTGCTGCTCACGGCGCCGCTGAGGGTGCGCGCCCGCCTCACCGACCGCTACTGGCGGATCCAGGACGTCCTGCAGTGCGCCCGGGTGAGCGCCCCGGGCCCGGGGCCCCTTCCCCGCCTCCCTCTCCGGGGCTTCTCCCCTCCCCCCAGCCCCTCAGGCCCCTCCTCCTTTCTCCCCCTAGCTCTTCCCCCTCCCTCTCCTCAGGCCCCTCCCCTTCCCCATGCCCCTCCCCTCATGAGATCCCACCCCTTCTCCATGGCTCCGCTCCTCCCCCCCAGCCCCTGAGCTTCCTCCCCTCCCCCTTCTCGTCCACCTTCATGGCTCACCCCTCTCCTCTTCTGAGACCCCTCCCCTCCTTCCCCGTGACCTCAGTCTTTTTGTGACCCCATTTAGGGTTTTCTGGGCAGAGATCCTGGAGTGGTTTGCCATTTCCTTCTCCAGCTCATTTTACAGATGAGGAAACTGAGGCAAACAGGGTGAAGTGACTTGTCCAGGGTCACACAGCTAGGAAGTGTCTGAGGTCGGATTTGAACTCAGGAAGACAAGTCTTCCTGACTCCAGGCTTGGCCCTCTTATCTTAACGACTCATGGACACATCACTTTAAAAAAAAAACCAAAACTTTGCCTCAGTTCTCCCAACTGTAAAATGGAGATCATCAGAGCACTATCTCCCAGCTTTGTTGTGAGGGTTAAATGAGATAATATTTGTTTAAAAAAAAGCACTTAGTGTGCCTGGCACGTAGTAGGTGCTTAATAAATGCTTCTACCCATTTATTTGAGATTCTTAACCTTTTATGTGTCATGGACTCAGCAGTCTGATGAAGTTTGTGGAGATGGATAATGAAAGTTTTAACTCCTAAATTAAAATGGATTGCAAAGGAAACCAATTCTATTTAAATACAATTATAAAAATATATATTTTTTGAAGTTGAGATACTCCAGGTTAAGAACTCCTGTACTAAGGGTACTAGCTGTATGACCCTGGGCAAGTCACTTCACCTGTTTGCCTCAGTTTCCCTATGCACAAAATAGGGCTGATAATAGTTCCTCCTAGTTAGCTATTATTATTAGTTTTTGGGCACTGAGCGAAGCCCAAGGATACAAAGAAAGAGATAAATAGCCCCTTCCCCCTTCTAGAGCTTCCATTCCAATGGGGTGGACAACGTCTAACTAAATAAATAGGTACATACAAAATACAAGTGTAAGCAAGGTTCCGTCCCTACTCCCAGAGAAGGACTCCTGTGACGAAGCCGATGTGATGAGTCTTGAATCTGGGAGGGGGAAAGGAGAGCATGAGGGTAAAGGTTTGGGGAAGGAGGAGCGTTTGTGAAGTGCCCACTGTGCCTTGTGCCGGGCTAAGCTCTGGGGGGCTCAAAGAAAAGGAAGAAGAACCTGGTCGATGCCTTCGAGACCCTTACATTCTGTTATTATCCGTGCCTAAGAGATTGGTACAGAATAGACGGAAGGTTGTCTGAGAGGTGAGCCCCGACGTGCCAGCGTGTAGCCGTCATCGGGGTCCAGACAAGAAACAGGAAGGGCCTGGCTGGGGAAGGGTCTTGAAAGTGAAACAGCATTTTATATTTCATCCTGGAGATAAAGGGAGCCCCTGGAGCTCATGGGGCAGGGAAGGCTGTGGTGAACATTTATTAAGCACTTTCTGTGCGTCAGGCCTTGTGCTAATAAGCTCGTCTGATCCTCACAGCAACCTGGGGATTTTTAATCCCCATTTTTACAGTTGAAGAAACTGAGGCAGACAGATGAAGTGACTTGCCTGGGGTCACACAGCTAGAAAGTGAAAGGCAGGATTTAAACTCAGGTTTTCCTTACTCCAGCGCCTCCTCAAGGCAGTGGGTGACACCATCAGTCCTGTCCCTTTAGAAGAATGACTCTCTCAGGAGGATGGGCCGGAGTGGGGAGAGACTGAGGTAGACAAACCCTTTAGCAGACTGTGAGAAGAAGTCTGGATGGAGGAGGCAGGGGAGAGGAGGGGACCCAGACCAGATGTGCTCAGAGGGTAGAATGGGCAAGATCTGGCACCTTCTTCCAGTCCTCTTTTCATTCTATTCCTTCTCCCCTCTGTCCTCCCTAAGTGCCTCCTCTGGGCCCCTTTCCCACCCCCCTCCCTCTGTTCTGCCTCCCTTGATCCCGCCCCTGTGTTCCCACCCCCTGGGTCCCCTCTGCCTGTCTTTCCCTTCCCCTCGATCTCTTCAGCTCCCTACCATCTGCTTGGCTCTTGGCTCGTCCCCTACCACTACCCTTCTCTGTCATGTGCCCCCCTCTTCCGGCCCCAGCTGGGTTCTCCCCTATTCTCTAGTCAGACTCTTTTCTCCCTGCTAACCTGTTTCATTTTTGTAATTCCACTCCCTCCCCCATGTAACCCAGCTCAGCCACATAGTTCTCCTCCCCCTCCTCCTGCTTATGCTGAGAACCCCTCCCTCTAAGGGGCATTTAGGGTGGGGTGCATTCCAGGGTCCCTTTGAACTCTCTAAAGGACCACCCCCCTGAGATGATGGTCCAGAATGATAATGGAAACTATCTGCCCTTTCTCTGTCTCTCTTTCCCCCTCCTGCCCCCTCCCTTTCCCTCCTCCCTCAGCAAAGAGGCTGGGCACTTCTGGGGCTGAATGCTCTGACCATTGTCAGACTGCCCAAATCTTTATTGATTTGTTTATTTTCGTTATGTGGTTTGGGTACAGTTTGCTGGCAAGGGATGGAGAAGAGGAAAGGGTATATCTAGAAATGACTATTATGTGAAAACAAAAAGTGTCGATAATAACTTCTTTTAAATCAGTGTCAGTAGAGAGCTATAGACGAGCTCATGACTGAGTCTGAATGTGTGGGAACAATGTGGCTAGACCTTCCCAGTCCCAGGGCTTGTGTACCCATCCCCCCACCCCCACCCCTCTGCAATTGTTGCATCATCGATCTCATCATCGGTGCCCGAGCCGCCTGCAGGCAGAGAGGGCAGCATCGAACCAGCCTGACTGCGGGGTCCTTCGAGCCGGGTGGGGTTCCCTTCCAGGTGTTGCTCAGCAGCTGTGAAGGCTGCTGCCTCTGGAACAGGGCCTCATCAGTCTTTGCCAGCCATGATCGACACGTCCTCTTTCTAACTTAGCACTTTCGGGGAAGGAAGAATCGCTGTTACAGGTTGGCTGTCAGGGCTGTGAACAGAGCCTTCGTGAAATGTACCAATGCCAGGAGGTTGAAGAAGAAGAACATGAGAATGGTGAGTCCATCTGGGGGGATGCAGAGGGAGCAGAGATGGGCCCACCCCCTCCTTTATTCCCTGCACATTTTGTTGGGACCGGACCTGGTGACGAACCTCCTTCGTCATCTGGGCAGGGGTAAAGGGACTTGCCCTGAGATGCTGCAGTTCTCTCTCTTTTGTCCCAGGTGGGGCTTGAACTCAGGGCTTCATGATGCCTAGGCCCTGATATACTGAAGCCTCTCAGTGCTGGTAGTGACTGTAGTGAGATGGTATGGCAGCATTTGTTTTAGTTTAGACCATTTAAGCCATCCCCACCTCACTTGCTCAGATGGATCCAGCTGCACAGATAAGATCATTTTAACCCTGTGGAAAGGACAGCTGAACCAGAGGGGATGAGCACATCCGGTCCTGTCTGAGGCCTTTGGCCCTGTGGTGCTAGGTCAGTCTGAGCAAGGGGTCCTCATCTCCTTGGTGTTTATGGAGGCAGATGCTGGTAGAGTAAGAGACAGGTGCCAAAGCAGCCCACTGACCAGAACCAAAGTTAGCATCTTTTTCTATTCAGTCTGGAATGAATTTATTTCTATGTGTCCTGATTTCAGCTTTGGATTAATCGAATTACAGCTGCTTCCCAAGAACATGGCTTGAAGTATCCAGCATTTATTAGCAATTTAATCAAGGTATGTTTCAGAGCTTGCTGTGATTAGGTAGAAGGGTTACACAGAGCCGCCGGTGTCTCACAATTCACAGTAATTCCACTTTAGCAACTCACGTGTCACCATTGCAATCCGTTTTCTGGTCCTGAATGTTGGAATTCATTTGGCTGTGTGTGTGTGGGGGGGAGGGGTTGGATGTACAGAGACAGCTTTGTTCCTTTCCCCAAAATCCCCAAAGGAGCATCTCAGAATTGGAAAACATGGTACATGGTGTGGTGGGCTGGGCCCTGCCTAGTCCTCTAATAAGAGGAAAGGTCAGAATATCATTTTTGTTGACTTTAAAAAATGGTAGTTTCAGGAGGAAGTGGTTTAATTCGGGGTGGGGGAGGAATTCAGTAAGATGTGGACATTGAAGGAGCTAAGGTTGTCCCCTCCCAGGCTTGCGCTTCCAAGAATGAGGTCAGTGCTCAGCTCAGCCGGCTTCCCCCAAAGGGACCTGTCGGTCCTTCGAGTCACTTTCTGAAAGGCACATTTTAGTCCGGTCTGGGTTAGATCAGACTTTACAGTTTTCCTTGGCAGGAAGCTGAGGCCTCCCTCTCACAGCTGCTGGACTGGGGGAATCAGCACCCATGGGTTTTGTTCCCTGCTTCTCCTTCGGCCGGGGTGCTGGGCACCTCGTATCCCCTCTCTGCCTCATTGTCTCTGTAAAAATTTGACCTGCAGCCCCCCACCTCGGAGTATTGTTTGATTGTTCCTATTTTCCCAGAGCGCTCTCAGTCAGGCTGTCTCCTTCACCGTCCCACACGTGGTGCCTTGTGTCCGTGACTTCCATCCACTTGGTGCTGGGTCCCCTTGTGGGGGTCAGGGAAAGGACTCAGTGTTCAGTTCAGAGCTTCAGGCTGCCAAAGGGGCGGTGAAGCGTAAAGGGGACACAAAGCCCAGCATTCACGAGCTGCCTCCAGGCTGGGTGCACGATGGACATTGAGGTCATCTGGTAGGGCAGCTTAAGGACTGCACTGGGTGCCAGGAAGACCCAGGGTTCCAATCCCGCTTCTGATCCTGGAGCAGCTCTGTGCCTACAGGCGAGCCAGCCAGCTCCCCCCTCAGTTCCCTTTTCTGTAAAGTTAGGCTAATGCTACCCTTTCTGCTGACTCCCAGGATAGTTGTGAGGGGCAAACAAGGTCATGTGTGTTCAGTGCTCTGCAGACCTTAAAAGCTGTGTGTGCATGCTCACTGCTATGATCAAGCACTCCACAGGCTTCAGGGAGCAGCAGCTCATCCTCATTACGCTGCCTGGAGCTGGAGGAGATAGGACAATTAGCTGAGACAGCCCCAGTCCAGCTGCTTTTCTGGGTGGAGAAGTCCCCCGGACGAGGCGACCTCTGCTTGCAGTGCCCAGGGGAGGAATCTCCCAACTAAAACCTGGAGCCTCTTGATGGGAAATCAGCAGAGGCTCCTTCACCTTCCCCGTGGTCCCTTTCTGAACGGGTGTGAGTCACCTATGACTGAAGGGTGTAAGCATGTGTAGACCTTCAGCTGCGCAGGTCCCTTGTGGCCCAGCTCAAACAGGAGAAGGGAGGTGTGCCAGTCCTCCTGTGCCCTGCTGGCATATTGTTCCCTTTCTAGGCTAACGATTTCAGCAAGGGCATTGACTGACAGGAATGGATCCGGCGGTGAGGGAGTTGGAGACCATGGACTGTGTGGGTTTGAGGACTGCTTGAAACAACTCGGGGTGTTTTGGGTCTAGAGGGAAAGGAAGCTTAATCAGAGGAGGGAAGATGTCGCTTTGTTCTGCTTGGCGCCAGAAGCTAGAGTAATAGGTGCAGTCAATAGATAAACATTTATTAAGCACCTGCTGTGTTCCACGGAGGTGAAAAAGCTCCAAGGAGCTGTTTTGGGTTTAGTGTATGGAAACATCTTCACAGGGGAGTGGTCCAGAAATGGAAGAGGCCTTATGTGAGGTGGCAGTGCGTGTCCCCTTCACTCGAGGCCTTCCACATCGTCCAGCTCTGAGAGTCTCTGCTTTGGTGGTGTCATTGTGTGATGTCACTTCTTTTCTCCCCAGTGTCAGGTGGAACTCAACAGGAAAGTCCTTGCTGACCTGGCTATTTATGAACCCAAGACTTTTAAGTCTTTGGCTGCTTTGGCCAAGCGGAGGAAAGAAGAAGGCCTTGCAGCTGCTCTGGGGGACGAGAAGGAGCCGGCAGGGATCTTTTCCCGGGTGGTGCATCATCAGTGAAGGCGATGGAGCCGCCATTGCCGCCGCCACCAGGGCGCTTTGCCCGAGGAAGGACTGGGGGTAATTCTCAGCTACACTAATGACAAAGATGAGCTGTGTGAGAGCTTCTCCAAGCTTTTTAGGTTCTTTCATAATGGTGTCTTTTCACATTTCAGGAGTGTGACAGGAGAGGTAGCTGGGCTTTTACCAGGTGGGAGGATGGGGGGCCCTAAAGGATTCATTCAGCATGTTTTCTTTTAAGCAAGGGCAGACTTTCAAATGTGTTCTGGAAGAGATTATAAAATAAAGCTTTTATAACAAAGAGTTGCTCATCATTGTGGATCATTTCCCTGGAATTCCAACCAGTTATTTGGTATTAAGGTTTTCTTGGGGCATCAGCAAACCATCAGTAGGAAAGCGGAGGTCAGAAGGCTGGTTTCTAGGCCCCTGCTCTGCCCTCATTGTATTACCTGGAGCCAGTCACTTCCTCTCTTGAGACGCAGATTCCTCATCTGTACAAGGTGGGGATGTCTAAAAGTCCTTCTTTATTCCTGTGGCATTAAAAATCCAGGCAAGAAGCTTTCATTAAGTGCTAAAGATGAGCCAGGCAGGCATTGTGCTAACTACTGGAGATACAAAGAAAAACTGGGGGAAAAAAAGTGGAGACCATCTGTGAAAAACCAGGCACATGAGAGAGAGAGAGTAGATGGGGTTAACGGAGAGGAAGGTGCTGGGGGCGGGGAGCAGGAGATGCCTCCTCACCAGCTAGGCTTGAACTCCGGGGCTCATTTTGTTTAATCCACTCATTTTACAAATGGGGAAACCAAGGCGTAACAGGTTTGGGGGAAGTGACTTACCCAGCATCCCACATCAGGTGAGTGTCTGAGATTTGAACCCCAGCCCTCTGATTCCAAATTCAGTGCCATCTCTCCTCACCAACCCCCTCAGTACCTCGGAATGCTGAGGTGGGTACACGCCTTACACAATCTTTTTTGGGGGGGGGGTGTTTTCTGTGCCATTTCTTTGTCCCTATCTAGGGGCCTAGAACAATGTGCTATGGTCTAGTAGACTTCATGCATCTTTGTGGTCTTAGGTTCTCCAGCCTAGGCTGGTTGGAGCCCAGAGCTCTTTCTGATCCTCCCTAACCAGGAAGGTCCTACAGGCTGAGAGGGATGGACTTCACATATATGTGTCTCTGCTGACACACCACATCTTCCTGGCTAAGTTCAAGAGGGTTAAAACCAGGTTGGCCGCGGCGCCTCCAGAAGACCCGGCCTATTACTGACAGTACGTTCTGGGGCTGCTTAAAAACCACAAATCAGGAAGGTCCCACCCAACCCCCCATCTTAGAGGAACCCAAATTGCACGCAACCAGAATAGCACCCTGCCTATGTCAATATTTTAAAATATAAAAATAAAAACAAAACTTGGCAAGCACAGGGATGGAAAAAAGGAGAGCTGAAAGGAATTTAGAAATGAAATTATTATTATTAATTTTTTTTTTTTTGCTTTTTGGTGAGGCAATTGGGGTTAAGTGACCTTCCCAGGGTCACACAGCTAATAAGTGTCAAGTGTCTGAGGTCGGATTTGAACTCAGGTCCTCCTGACTCCCAACGCTAGAGCTCTATCCACTGCACCACCTAGCAGGAATGAAATTATTCAATTATTCAGTTCACGGCAACAAGCGTATACTGGACACCTACTCCATGGCAGCCACTGTACGCACATAGCACAAGAAATAAGACAAAACTCCCTGCCTTCAGAGTGCTTACCTTCGAGAACCATTAATGTATTTGATAAACTATGTTTTCCCCTTAAATTCCAAATAATTTGGAGTTTATAAATGTAATGTACGATCACGTTCCCTAGAGAGTCATCGACTCTGGACCCGCAGAACTCTGTGTTCCAATTCGGAATCCAATTCTTACTGTGTGATCACGGAAAAGTCACGACTGCTGGGTTTCAGTTTCCTCATCTGTAAAACGAGGGGTTTAGCCTTAGATGACCTCCGAGATCCAGCTCTGCATCTAGTGGCCTGTGAAAGCTCTCCCAGCTCCCTAAATTGGATTCAGCAAATATTTCTTGAGTGTTTACCGTGTGCAGTCAAGACAATGAGCATTTATTAAGCACTTAACAAGTGCCATTAGGTTTCTAATTGATAAACTTCGATTAGACTAAATTTGTTTTACAATAAATTCACCATTCGACGTCCCTCCCCACCCCCCACCAGAAAGAGGACAACCCACCAAACAGTGAAACAGGCAGAAGTTTGTGCCGTCATCATACTGGTGGTTTGCCCTTTGTCTAAGGAAAAGAACAATGTGTTCTTTCACTCCAAATGATCAATCAGTACCAGCACCCTCCATCGTCAGTGATTGAAGCTTTGTTGCCCTTGATGGAGCTGTGGTCAAGGTATGTGTGACCCTTTCAGCTCTGTCTGTCCATGATCCCTCCAAGTCGGCCCATATCTGTCCAGACCTATTATTTCTTACAGGTGTGGATGCAGATTCCAAACCTCTGTTTCTCTAGAAATATTAAGATTTCTCTGGTCTACACATTCTTTCCAGACTTGTCTCTAGGATGTACTGGACTTTCTTTAACCTTGACGAGCCTCCGTTTCCCCATCTGCAAAATAGAGATAATAGTGCCTCCCCCCAGTGGTTGTAAGGCTCAAATGTAAAGGTGTATATTTTTTTATTTATTTTTAATTTATTTTTTAATATTTTTTTATTTTTAAATATTTATTGTTAAAAATTTTTCCTAGTTACATGTAAAAGCAATTTTTAACATTAACTGAGTTCCAAATTCTTTCCCTTCCTCCCCCCCTCCCCCATTGAGAAGGCAAGCAGTTTGATATAGGTTATCCATGTGTAGTCATGCAAAGCAGTAAAGGTGACTCTTTAAGGTAAATGTAGGTTCACTGTGCAAGCTTGCTCCATCTCTGGACTACTCCATCAGAAATGACCTCAGTTCCTTTGGCCTCTCTCTTGGACTGGATGCTTCCCCCAAAGTCTCTGTATCTCATAAACACAACCAAGAGCACATTTTTTTGCTTCAATGTTTTCAAATCCAGCCTTGGACACTTACAAGCTGTGTGACAATGGGTAAATCACTTAACCTCAGTTTCCTCATCTATAAAGTGGGGCATCACTTTATACATATATATAAAATATGTATGTATATATGTATATGTATGTGTGTATATAGATAAATAGATAGATAGATACCACCTACCTTCTAGGGTTATTGTGAGGATCAAATGGTGTAATATTTGTAAAACGCTTCTCACAGTGCCTGGCTTTTACATAAATAATGCACATTCCCTCCCCTACAGAGGACTGTGCAGTTTGGAGGAGGTGAGGTCCTTTCGGTATGATTGTGTAATAGATCTTTTGAAAGTGCAGCGTTGATCAGTTTTGTCTGTATCCTTGTAAATTTCTAGTCCTAACAGTGGCAGGAGGAATATGAGGAGCGCCTTAGGGACGTCTCTTGTTAATTTCCTAATGTTTTCCACAGTGGAGGGAGCAGACACACATCAGCGCACCCTGTTACACACATCCTCTGGGCCAATGAGTTTTCCCATCTCTGGCAATTCTGCTACTTTTGGGCAGTGAGTGCAATTACCCCTTCTTGTTACATATATCATCTCATGGGAATTTCGTGCACAGAGGATTGACAGGGTTAGACCTGGGTTTTAATGCAGCTGCGCCTAGGATAGACAGGAGAGGGGAGGGACTGGAGGCAGGGAGACAGTGCCCAGAGGGGGATCCACATGAGACTGATCAACTGTGGCGCCGAAGGGGGGACAGAGCCCAGGAAGAATCCGGGTGTTTTTGAGCCTGGGCGACGAAGGGTCGAACTGGAAGAGATCTGAGGCTGCCTGTCTAGCACAGGCTTCTGTTATTATATTGGCTTCTGTTTGTTGTGGACCCTTTCGGTGGTTTGGTGATGTCTATGGATCTCTCCTTCTCAGAATCGTGTTTTTAAATAAAAATAAAACATATTGGTTACAATGGAAGTCAATTATATTGAAATATTTACCAAAATGTTTGAAAGAAAACAAAACCAACCCACAGACCTCAGGGTTAAGAACTCCTGATCAGTTTGGATGATGGTGCCCTCAGTGCCTGGCACATGGCATCTGCTTAATTGCCAGGCATTCCTGGATCTGGAGTCAGGAAAATCTGAGTTCAAATTTTGCCTCACCACTCTACTAGCTGTGTGAGCCTGAGCAACTCACTCAACTGCTTTCTGCCTCAGTGTTCTCAACTGTAAAATGGGGATAATCATAGCACTTCCCTCCTAGGGTTGTTGTGAGGATGTGTTTTTGTCTGTACGTAATTGCTTTCATGAGACTGTGAGCTCTCTGAGGGCCGGGGGAACGGGGCTGTTTTTCATCTTTCTTTGTACTCCTAGCCTCAGCACAGCAACAGGGATGTGGTAGGTGTTTAATTAGTGCTTATTGGCTCTGATTGGCTAAGGTGCTTTGCAAACCCAAAGTGCTCTATAAATATTATTGCTGTTATTATTATGAAGCGTGTGTCGATTTTCAGAAGACCGCTGAGGCACGCGCTATTATGATGCCCAATTTGCAGAAGAGGAAATTGAGGCTCAGAGGTTAAGGTACTAGCACTGAGTGCCAAGGCTGGTTTCAGAGCAGCATTTCTACATCCGGCACTCTAGGCAGTGTGACCTGTCATGTCTCTGATCTCATCGCAGGTAGGGAGAGGACAAAGGCCTTGGGCACGACGCTTTCTCCAGCTCAGAGACCACCGTGAGGACAGAGCGCCAAGTCCTTGAGAAACAAGCTGCCCTCGTGGGGCATTCTGGGAGACGGGAGGGGGAGGAGAGAGGGCCGTAGGCGGAGGAGCCGCAATGTGCGCTGGGTAACGTGCCCCCCCTTTTCCCCGCCCGCGCCGAATTCCCAGCCCGTGAGTCAGAAAGAGCGGTCCGAGTGACGCGCGCTGCAGCCAATCGCGGCGCGCAACGGCGGCGGGGGCAGAGCGGCGGCGGCCAATGGAGTCCTCGGGGGCGGGCGGGCGCAGGGAGGCGCCGCCGGGCGGGGGCCAGAAGCACGAAGAAGACCCAAGATGGCGGCGGCGGCGACAGCTGCGGGAGCCCCGGCTGTGGCGGCGGCTGCGGCGGGTTCAGGGGCCGGGGGAGCGGCGTCGGCGGCCGGCTCGGGCTCGGGCTCGGGCTCGGGCGGCGGGACTGGAGGAGCGGCGTCGGCGGGCCCGGGCGGCTCGGGCCCGGGCGTGCTCATCGGGGACCGGCTGTACTCGGGCGTGCTCATCACGCTGGAGAACTGCCTGCTGCCCGACGAC